TAAAGTTTCTCCTTTCAACTTTATAAATTTTTAACAAAGTTTGGGAACAATTAGAAAAAAATTGATTGACAAAGATTATTTACCAAGATTTTTCGATAACGCGAAAGGATCTTCGCACGCCATTTTGATCGAGATGCAAATTTTTACATTGACGAGTAAGTGAAAAAAAAAGAGAGCGAAAGCGATCGATGAGCGACATTGTTGATCGTTCAAATCATCATTCGTTCTGAGAGTGATTAGAATTTCAAACGTTACATAATTCCATAAATCTTCATCAAAATCGCAATATTTTTGAAATTAGACAATTAAACCTAGGGTCAGTATATTTCCGATTTACCCTTACCCTTGCAAACAATCAAATAAAGTTAGAAACTAAATCTTTATGAAATATTTTTTCTAGTTTCTACTGTCAGCTGCATTTTGATAAACTCTAATTCAATGACAAATTATCGACATTGCAATAAATAAATATTTAATATTAATATAGATTGAAATGCAATGCGATCGAAGTTTTGATCCTCAGTGTAACAGCAAAAAACCACAGTACTAGGTGATGGTGGAATAGCCGTTCATGACAACGACGTGATACTATGCACTAATTTATTAAGTGTATTTAATTCCTAGCTACATTATAATACTAAGTTTATGTTATAAATCTAAGTTTCGTTTCCTTCTATAACGTCTACTACATATACAATTAGTGCTCACTATTTATTTATGTTTTCAAAACAAAAATGACTAGTAACAAATATCTCTGATAAAGATCATGGATGGTTTTATTACACATCATCAATATGTTCCTTTGCGTCTTCTATTATTTTAATTAAACAGATACAAGTTAGGGGTATCGTATACTATGTCTATTAGCATTAATTTTCGATGCTGAAATAAGGTAACATTTTCATTAATTATTGACTAGAATCTAGTAATTTGCTTAAAAAAAATATTACAATCATATTAAGATCAAACTATTTCACTTCGAAGCATAAAAAAGAGAGTCAGACATTCCATTGACGCAGAGAAGAATGCCATGGTTTTTATGCCATGGTTTAAGAATTTGAACAAAACACTAGTTCCATTTATTATATTAGATCAATATTTGTGCTATATGCTATACTGAAAATTTGTGAATAAAATATTAATCAAATATAATAGGTAATTAAAACAATTTTTTATCTTTATCCAAAGTTTAAATTTTTGTAAAAACATTTCATTCGCCTGTTTCGATGGACTGCCTGAACATTGATGAAAATACGCTCTGTATTAGCGAAAAAGTAACAAGTGCTTGAAAAATACGTCAGTTCTGTTAGGTCCTGAGCAGCTCAGTAGTTAGAGAAGTCGCCTGGATTGCCGAAAGTCATGGGTTCAAGTCCCATCTCAGAGTGCCAGGGAGAAAGTGGATTTTTTAAGCATTTTTCACTAGTTCCATTATTAAAGAACTTCATAACTAGAACGAGGTTCTCAATTCCAAACTTCTAACTGATGTTTCGTTTCGCACCGAAAGTAGTGCTATTTTAACAAGAAGTAGAGTAGTTTCGAGCGGCGTTGATCCTACAAGCAGCTCCGCCTACCTCTTCTCCACTCTGCGCCACTTCTATCCTCCTTAATGAGTTATACAGTGGACGATACCGCTTCTAATCACTAATATTTGTTTCTTTCTACCTCAATGGAATGGCACTCCTAGGTATGCATTACTATATTCATTTGATTGACAGAGTATACAATGAAACTTTTCCCAACAAATTAATAATATTTACAAAGTGGCTTTCCTTTAGTTGTTTAATTTTGATTCGTTATTACATACATTTGATGGAAGAAATTTACTATAATGAATAAATAATTTGCATTTTTTTTCTTAATGGCTATTAGTACATATATGTAGCTTTTTAACATTTTGATTTTGATTGTGATCCGCACGAAAATTCTGGAATACTCTTATGAAGCGATCTGATTACTTTCATCATTTCAAAACCTAACGTTTCGACTATTTTTTAATTCAAAGGTGTTACTATAAAGCACGGTAAGTATATTGCTGAATTTCAACGTCAAACAAGATGAGGTAAGATACCTAAAATACCAATACGTTGAAATCTAGTTTCTACTGTCAGCTGCATTTTGATAAACTCTAATTCAATGACAAATTATCGACATTGCAATAAATAAATCAATAAATATGTAAACCGATGTAAAACCCCAAAAGGAGAAGTAAATGGTAAATACCGTTATCACTCACCGACCAATAAATTACCTACTACACCCCATAAATGCAATTAATCATTACCTCAATCCAAATTAATTGTAGATATATGATTAAATATATATATATATTCCATATTTCATTACATGTACTTTAACATAGTACATACAACACCTTTTATAGGTATTTAATAAAATAAACATAATGTTACCATATAATATATATATGTGATCTTACTTAGCATTTACCTATCGAGTGTATTTATAAGTTTTACATTAATTTGTGTATATTATAATAATAGTTTATAAATATTACATCATAATTATATATTATCCATAAACATATTTAAAACTTTAAGGGGACGGTATAATGCTTTAACTAAAATACGGTTTAGAATGACAGTGATCAATATACTTCTTTATATGTAAGGAATAACAAAGTTACCAATGTAAATATATATTTTCTTATATAATAATAAATATCTAGTTGTTTTTAATTAGCTTAACTTTGGAGATAAAAGATAAGGTTAGATTTCTTTATTAAATAATATGTTTGGGTACATAATTAATCTACTATCTATCTATCATAAGTGTAAGTGCTCAAGTGACCTTTTCTATAGTTATGAAAGCACATAAATACTGTAAAACTTTTGTGCAGGGGTTCCTAACCTTTTCATGATTGTTAACCACTTACGATTGTTTCGACCTATTCGGAAATCTGGGGTCCAATTCTACTAAATTAATTTTGTTTAAATCGAATCGAAAACGGATCGAACCCGAACGAAACTACAGTTTTTAATGGTTTTCCTATTCTACTAAGTGACATACGATATAATTCCAGCTAAAATAGAACTGGCATTGTATCGTATGTCAATTGGCTCCCAGATTTTAACTCTTCTCGCACAAGCAATGTCTAACTGAAGACCAGACCCTTCCTAAAAGATATCTCTTGATCTGACCATCATATTATCGTTTCGCTTGAAGAAAGTCTTAAATTATGTTCTATACTGAGATGGTTTTATTGTTATTTTATAAAATTTGGTATTAATTGTTATCTACATTTTTTGTAACACTCATAAATTTGCAGATTTATCTCGCGGGAATAATTAATTACCCCTAGTTTAGGAACCACTGCTTTGGTGCCTCTTCATTGTATTATTATTTTTAATTCCAATGATTTCTATAACATATAATTTCGGGTATTCTACATAAAATGGCACGGTTTTTTTGTTTTGTTTAAAAACACATATAATGCAATAATAATAACTTCTGTTAGAACCCAACAGAAGTTGGATATTTCAATACATATATGATGCCCTGAGTGGTAAGTGCAAGTTTTACGCTAACGCGTTCACTAGTGAGCGCGTTAAGAATTTGTAGTTCTTAGTAGTTACCGCTAGGGGCGCTATAGCGCTCTGTTCGAGATTTTGTACAGTTAGCAACGTAGATAATCAAACTCAGTAGATCATGAAACTTAATAGTATCTATTAGAGTTTTGAGTATGCCCATCGTGTCAGTAACAGTGGATCTGCCTCTGTTTGTAAATCTCAGTAAATCACAAACTGGTGACGTCATATAATCATTTTATATTATCGACAACTTTTTACTTATTTTGCTTAGTTATTATTACACTAACACAACGTTTTTTTTATGTAACAGAAAAATCTGATACATTATCCGAAATACCACAAAGTATAAACTGTTTTAATAATTTTAATTTTTTGTTGAGTTAGAATTTATTATTTGTTAGTTATAGTACCTATTCCCTGTCGTTAAATCGGGGAATGGTTTGACAGAACTCAAAATCATGCGTAGCACCGCTTGTTTAAATGTTCTTTATTTACTTTTATTATTAAGTAATTAAGTATTAAGTATCTTTTTACTTATAATTTATAAAATATAATACGATTCTTTATGTAGTTTTGTTATTGGTATTTTTGAGTTGCTATTTTGAGATGCGTTTATTTAAAAACCATACCTTTTTTATGTAATAATTATGAATACATAGGTGTAAATCATTTTTCAGATTTTATAAAAGACTTCTATGAAGTCTTAGACTTTCATAGTTTATTTACTATATAAAAAATAACAATTCACGAATACACACAGTTCATCTACAAATAAGGACGAAATATTTCAGCAAATACTTCAAATGATTTAGGCATTTAATAGCTGCATATTAATATGAAATAAAATAGGTAGATATACGTCTACAATATGTAAATATTTACAATCTAGAAGGGGTTGATTTGTCTGTGATTGACAGCTATTCGATGAGCAGAGCGAATACAAGAAAGTAAGTTACATTACTTGAAATTGTCGTGTGCCTAAAAACAATTTTTAATGTCATAATTTAGAAATAAAAAAATGATACTCTGTCAGCTGCACGTATTTACAAAATAAAAGTATACAAATGTACAAGTAATATAATTTTCAAATGCCTGTATAAACGTATTACAACAATATAAGAATAACAAACGCATCAAAAACTTAGAGCAAACAATACTTAGACCTCTCCGAAAACCTTACAAAATTCGTTCAGCACCTAACCTTAAAGTATGCATGTTAAGACCATTTAATCTTATATATATCACAATTAAATTAACAACGCATATTTGAGAATGATATGTCGCAAATTTCATTCAGTAAATTATGGACTTAATACAGAAATACAATTAAGTACATACAATACTATATTTATCATAATTGAATAACGCAGCTCATAATTTTGGAATTGTGTAAGATAAATAGGCCGCTATGCGATGTTTCTAATGTACCACCCTAAAGCGTTGTGTACTAAGAAACTACAAAAAGAACTGTCTAACGAATAGCAAGGGGCGGTCGCGGGACATCAGGGGCCGTTGTGTTCCGTAGTCGTCTTCGTGTGTTTGAGCAACGCCCGCGCAAGGCATCATTCTGAGAGGCCTTGTGGCCGAGGAAGCGCCACATCTTCGGCACTGGTTTCGCCGTACGTCTAAAGGTCTCCTCCACCACCAAACACCATCTGGAGGCTCGTGCCGTACATCCATTGGTCTTTTCCACCACCAGGCACCGTCCGCTGAGTCGTATCCTGATGTTGACTCGTAGCTGTACTTACTCATCCATGTTTTGTCAGACCAGGTGGAATTGTCGCTGTCACACGGTGTGACCGGTGCGCTCTGACTAGGTTTCGGTGCTTGCAACTTGTTACTCTCTTCGGTTAGGGATCCACGTTTCTGTAACACAGTTAGATTTAATTACCAACATTTTTAACTGCCTGAATCACACACTGCTTTCAAGGTAAATATCAACCCGAATAAAGATCTGCTTACGCGTTAGTACGCGATGGATCTATCGTCGAGTGTACACGGTCAAATGACATATTTTAAAATTTGTCACTGACATACAGCGACGTATCTTTCATCAGATATCCACTGACCCTTAAGATGTCACCATCACTAAAGTGCAATTATCAACCAGCTCAATATAAAAATTATCCTTCCTAAATTATTTCTCAGCCACGGTGGTTGTGGCATTATCTATTTCTATAACACGAGGACTTTGCCTTCTTAACATGAGATCTGAGCAATATACCGATGATTTTATCTAAAAATAGTTGCATTTATAGCAATAAGTAATTCAAAGGAAATTTAAAATTTAAACTAATATGTTAAAATAGTACCTTCAAAATATCAAAGTTGGGCAGCTTGAATCGTCACACTTCCTGAAGAAATTTTACCGGGCACACGCCTTGTCGATTGTCGCCTGAACGAATCATCACCATTCCATCGACCTCGTCTCCTACTTGTATTACGATCTGATCCCGAAGCAGCATGAGTCCATTGTCACCGTCAGAAACCTGGAAGTTAAAATGGATGAAATGTTAGTTGGCATTTTTTCAGAAAGTTATATATACTCTGGCAGCTTAAAATGCAAGTTAAAAATTCCCGCCAAATGCAATGCAATTTTTACTAACTATTAAATTGTAAAATATACTCTGGTACTGTAGCCAAGTTGTTCACACGCCTGTTTTAAGATGTCACTAACTCTGATGTTTTGAGTTGGATTCACAATCGGGTCAAAGTAGAAAAATAATGTTTCTTTATTGTCTTGGGTGTGAGTTTAGAGGGGTTTAGCTATACATCTTGGAATCTGAACTGTGATGTCGTCAAATATTTATATATTTATTCAAATCAATAAATGTATATATATAAATCTATAAGTGTTACTATATTATGTAAGTATTTAATCGAACGTAATAATTACCTGTAAATTATGTGTGACTTGCAAAGGTCTCTCGCCAGCTTGCAGCTTCGTGCAATATTTGGATGGGAAGTAACCAATCTTTCCCAGGCACTTGCCTTTCCACCAATCAGGATCTGAGGTATCAATTACTGTCACCTTGTAACCTGCTTTCAAGTCCAGTTCATCAGCGTGCCGAGACTTGAAATTATACAGAATCACGTAGAGGTTTGTCGGCAGTAGTCTCTGATGCTTCTGGAACAAAATTTTCAACATAGACAATTATCTACTGTAAAAAGGATATTTTAGAAATTATTTAGAAATAATAATCAAGTAAATGTAGAGCCTAAAAACTGTGATTTCTTATATGCCATTGAACAGCGTATCTAGCAGATAGACCATTGTGTGCAGTGTGAAATGCTTAAATACTTAAACTATCAGTGGAAATAGTACAAATTTAGCATAAATTTTTAAAGCTCAGGTATTTTTCTTGATTAGTTATACTAGGAACTGGATTTCAAATCCCTCGGACACAAATCAGAGTCAGAACAATGTCATTTATACCTATAAAAAAACATACATAGCGGTTATATATGTTTTTTTTTATGTATGTTCACCGATATTTCTGCCAATTGTTGAACGTTTTGCAAATTCTTTTAAATCGACATCTATGCGACGGTCGATGGACCGAGGTAGTCCCATTTTAATTTTACCTAAATCGAATAAGTAGTTTTCTTTTTATAACAAAACTAAATACGCCTTTAACCATACATTACCTATTATAAATATTTTGATGATTTTTATATTATATTTCAGCAGAAAAACAAAAGATTGTGTATTTTGAATTCATTCAAAATCCGAAAGGAGGATTTTCTTTGTCCAAGTGGTATGTATATTTTTATGAAAGTAGGTATGTCAATCGATTTCTTCTTGAATTGTGTATCAATTTCTATCAAACTAGCTGTTTCCTCGCTACTTCGCCTGCTTAATAAAATAAAACGCTTATTATGGAGCTTCCCGTAGATAAAAGAATTTTATAAATCGGTCCAATAGTTTCGAAGCCTAACCAATGCAAACAAACGAGCAATCAAATCTTTCCTCTTTATAAAATGAGCATCAAATATTTGGAAAAAAATATGATGAGCAAATAAACAAAATCTTTTCTAAGACTTTCATTATGTTGAATATTTTATTTATATAGGTCTATATCAATACTATATATAATATAGCTCGGTGGCGTAGTGGATAAGCGCCGCGGCCCGCGATTGTTGTCGTTAAGCAACTTTCACAAGGGTCGGTCACGAGATGGGTGACCAAAAAAAAAAATTATCTCGAGCTATTCCGTGCTTCGGAAGGCACGTTAAGCCGTTGGTCCCGACTGTATTTGCAGTCGTTAAAACTCTTCAATCCGCATTGGGCCAGCGTGGAGGGTCATGGCCCATCCTCCTTAACCATCCATAAGGAAGGCCTGAGCCCCTGCAGTGGGGACGTAAAAGGGCTGATGATGACGACGATGATGATATCAATACTAATAGTATAAAGAAGAAAGACTTGATTGTCTGGACCGATTTTAAAATTTTAGATGATTAATTTAAATAAAGGGACGACAATGGATGTGGAAGTTCGTATAGGGAATGAAAAGTTACCTTAGTAACGATTGATTACTATTCAATTTGTCAGTGTAATTATATCGATGTCATCGTGTCATGATATGAATCGATATTCAAATAAACAATTCCCTGCCACCACGCGGGAATACACGGGCGATGCCGCTGGCGGAAAGCTCGTATTTAATATTTTGTGTTACCTATTATATAAAAAAAATCTTCAATAAAAAATAAAATTGAACCGACTTCAAATTTTAACAAAGTAATAAATAATACTTACCGCAAAATAAACATATTTTTAAGAAAATGTTATTGAAGTAAAGTTTTTATTTGTGTATATTATTCGTTTTTAAGCAACATATTTTTCTATAAGCTCTCCACTTTATAACAAGACTTATCATTTTATATTTCACTTTTCTTTTTGTATCATATTTTCTTTTTATATGTATCTCGTATATACTTTTTATATATAATTAACATTTATTTTTTGCTGTTATTTTATATTTATTTTCTTATTTATTACTATTCTACTTTTTGTCATTATTCTATATTTTTCATTTCTTCAACCACTTAAATTACTTAGACAATATCATGCTTATTTATTTTTATCATAAATAATGTTTGTTGACCTTAAAAATACTTCGATATCCAAAAGTATATCTAAAATGCTTACACTTGGTTGTTTCACTGGGGAAAGACAAGGGCTGGCGCTATTCGATGATAAGCTCTTATCCGGTTCATCAGGAAGTTCGACGCTGCTCATGCGACCGATCCTGGCACTCAATAATCGTCTGCTATGTACCGGCGATGAAGGAGCTGCATATATCATAAAGTATAGTGAGATTAACTGCCGTATATTTGATATGTATGCGTGTTATTGAAATATCAAACACATATTTAGGTATTTGCACCTTTTTATGATAACAAAAATGTGTCACACACAACCATCACGCGTAAAGACAACACCAAAGCTCCCTGCTAGTAGATGCCGTCGACAGCATTGTGTTACGCATTTTTTCAGGGCACGTGACCAAACGGACAACCGCTTACTCGTATGCTTATAATTTATTTTTATTGTAAGTGAATAAGAAATGTTATACCTACTCATTGGGATACACTGCAAGAGCAACAAACAGATTTGTGCCTGTTGTGATTTTTATATACAATATCGACTCGTTCAGCTGAATCTAATGCTATAAAATAATTTGGATTACTTCTACTTGAGTAATACAGCAGGCAAATAATATTATATCATCCGATAAGCCATTTGTTTATTATCCAGTATTATAATATTAAGACAACAGCTAGGTATATATAGCTAGGTAGCTAATGACATATCATTACAGACTTGAAAGCTTTGTTATTTATGAATGCTCATGTAACAATTAGTTGAAAGCACTATAATCCTTTTATATTTATCTGCTGTATCATGTCTATTAGAAACATGTTTAACGTACATGAACGAGTATATCTATGAATCGAGTAGTTATTTATTCTGTTTAAGCTGTTTCTCATGCAAAGTGCTCTGCATCTACCTAGAAAACAATAAAAAGTACAACATAAATGCATGCATCTATTAGAATGATATTATTAAGTAAACTTAATGTAAAAATTGCTAGATAGAGGTATCGCAAGTTGTCGCATAGGGTATGTGATCAATCAGAAAACGTCGTGTGGAACACCGTTGTTTGCAAAGCCAATCCATACCAATGTCAGTCGTCTGGTAGATGCACTTCAGTCAATTTACTTTTTAGACGACGACATAACGAAGAAACACCGAATCACGAAACAAAGTAATTTAGGGCATCGCCTAAAGGGAACCAAAAGCGGACCAAACACATAAATCAGGAGAGAAAAAACGCAATGAATACCTATACTATGGCACACAAGCTAAGCGAAGACTTGATCTTGACAGTGAACATCGCTTGTTGCTCGACATAAAATCGGAGTCCAAAGAACTAGCATTAATGGCAAAGTAAAACTTGGACATTGAAAATCATTTTACTCTCGTTTGTATATATTTATGAGTATATGTGTCTTAAACTGAGTCAAGCAAATGAAGATGAATATCCCTAAAAGGGATAATAAAAAACAATAGAGCCAAAGACATATTAGAGTGATGATTAATGAGATGATAGTTTTAAATGTGTTGGCCGTACAGGAATTGCATCTTCATTTGGTTTTAATATGTTTCATAGTGATAAGTTCTTTAGACCCGATAATGTTATTACTGCAATATTCGTACAGAGAACTCTGCTGCCCTGTGAGGGCGGTTGGTCTCGACCCGGCCGACGTCTCAGCTCCCCACATTCCGGCGAGTCCAGCGAGAGGCTCTTCATTCTAAGGTTCAACTTTTGTCGTCTCGGCGAATGCGGCGCTATAACATTCATCATGAGAATCACTTACCTCTTCCATTTTATCAATTGACAAAAACCCTAATATATCTGGACTTATCTTGCGAATGTTTTGAAATATTTGTGACTTCTAAAATGTACAACGTAAGTACAACTGCAAATAAAATTTTCACGATTTTACTAAGATGTACAGTGAGTATAATGGCGGTGTTAGTAAATTAGGGGAATGATTCTATTTACTATTGTTTTCGATCTAAATACTTTTGAAAAATTCATAAATATATATTGTGAAACATTTGAAGTGTTATGTTTGATACTTCGGTTTTTGATATGATGATGAAATATGGTAAAGTTCGTATTAATTTATACAACCGTATTAGTTAAGTTAATATAAACAGGCAAACCATCAATAGACAAACTGAACAAAAATACATCATTTAAAAGTGCATAAGCAATGCAAATTAAAAATACACACTAAGGAAAGGAAAGAGAATAAAAGTAGAAAAATACCTTATAAAATTAACAATATATGTTTGACTGAGAGAGCTACGAATTTCACTACTGCCTAAGCTACTAAAGTGAAGGCATATTTAATGATTTTATTTTCAGTGTCTACAAATTAACTATTTATTATCAGATGCAGCCCGTCATCAGCAGCGTTCATTGGTTTCTATAATAATAAATTGGTTGCGTATATGAATGAGTTCTCATACAAATGTCTTTTCAATGCAATGAATGTTTCGAATATATAACTACGGGGATTTCGATTTATTATACATTGTCTTTCGATACCAGGTAAGGGACTGGTGCGGTCTGCCTGTCTCAACATTTGGGCACTCTTCGAGTTCTTCATCGACCCTGTGTGGACAAGTAAACAGGTACGAGTCTATATTATTTTTACCATTTTTATTGGAATCGTAGAGGGCCTGCTGTACAAATTAATTAAAATGATAAAATAAAATAAGGTTATCAGTAAGATAGGACAAGGAAGCAAAACGAAAAAGGAAAACATTGGAAAATTCGTTGCAATTGTTGACAGCGTGTATTTTTGAGGTAATTTTTGCTCAGCGTGAGTAGGACTTTTAAGAGAGTAATGAAAATTGTGAAAAAGCGTAATGTTGAGTTTTGAGTTGGTTCAGTTTAGAAAACTGGATATTTGGCTGCAAGTGAAAAGCGTTAGTTTATGTTAAAATGTGTACTTTTTGTTAAAACGCATGCAGTCATCAAAACCGCATTAAGCCATGCACCACTTACTCCCAAACTTCGGACTGCCGAAAATTTTTCTTGAATGGAGAAAAAAGTGCAAACTTGAAGGAAACGAGAAAAACAAGGAAGCTGATATTTTCACTTTTATTGTAACAGTAACAATATACATATCACAGAACGCGGGGCGCTTCGGGGTGATCAAATTAAAATGGCTGTTCGATTAGCCTTATTGTCGCGCTGAGTCAGTGCTCATGCCTACGAGGCGACATGATTTATTGTTTCAATCCCGTGAAGTGAAATGTTGCTAATCATTTTTTCTTGCGAACGCTGGCCGTGGACTTGAGAATCGATGGCGGAGGGTCACCGTTCTCATTAACGAAACATAGGGGCTGCCCGAAAGGTCGCGTCGTTGTCTCTTCTGACTCTGCAATGATAACGAGTAAACGAAACAAAATAAATAAAAGCAAATAAAACATGTTATAAATAATAAGGAATGAAAACAAATAATAGGGACAAATAAAGCTTGGATTAAATATGACATCGGAATATACGATTCCTACCACATGAAGTGAAATCCTGCGAAATGTCAGGTTCAAGCAACTAAGGTGTATTTGTCGAGCTTCGTCTAGTTTTAGTCCTAGTCTAATCTAACATTGCAACCGCGAAACGAAAAGTAAACAAAACAAATGTATACAGAACACACAACGAAAATGAGGCACCGAAACCCATTTAGAAGACGGGAGAAACAAAGCTTTTTGTAGTTCACAGCTGTGACATGACAGAGCTTTGTTACGGCAGCCGTGAGCGCGTACTTTCTGGCAGAGAAATGGACCGATGCTGCGGCGAGCCACGGCGCGACCGCGAGCCCCACATGGATAAACTCTTGACACCGGCGAAGAGTCTCCGCCGCACGCCGCTGTCGGGCCGCGTCGCCCCGCCTACCGACAAGCACCGCTCAGTACCGACCGCACCCCGCCCCCGCCCTGCGCCCGCGACATTACCAAAGGCGTGCAAAACATCTCGACACTACTGAAAACGAGTGATCTGAGTGAAGCTGCCGGACGGCCGCCGCCAGTTCGAAGCCTTACTACTCTTGTGTCACCGCCTCTCTAGAATGCATTCACAATTAGAGCCAGTTGGCGACAGCTCCTGTTTTACCAAAACTATAAATTTAGCTAAATAATCTAAGCAAATAGTAAAATTTTAGAGTCCTAATAGCTCTACTAAAGATCTGTCGCGTATAGCTTCGAAAGAGGGATTGCATCGTATCGGATTGGTGAGACAAGCGCGAGGACTGCGGCAGTCGGCGACCGGCGGCCTACGGCGCGGCTCGAGCGGCACAAGCGAGCTCGGGTGCGGCGCCACACCTGAGCTAGAGGACACGGGCTGAGGCACGACGGCAAGTCCACCGGACGGACGCGCTGGCGATCGGGCGGGCGGTGTCTCCTCTGGGGCTGACACACGCACTACCGGACCCCCGCGTGAATCCCCGCCACCCGGCTTCGATATTTCGTTGGCCCGCTTGAGTACTTGGTAGGTCTGATCCACTTCCTCCTCTGAGCATCAAATGCGGTTAGGTCAAATTCGACAATATGTGGATCTCATGGTTCGCCTACACGACTGTTATTAAGTGCATATGTCAGGCTAGGAATGTGTATGTTAGTACCCCATAAGTCATTTCTGCCGGGTCTGTGGAGAGTTAATGTCTTCGAATACTATTTGAAAGGGGTGCGGAAAGTTTTCTCCTGACTGGCTATACTGTACCCTGATCACAGAAGCTATCGAAATCATCATCGAACTCGATTGATCCCTTGAAAGATATCTTGGTGAGTCTTTGTCCCGGCAGCCAGCCGTCTTCCACCCCTGGACATGTGAAATTGCCTTCTGATTTAGCTGTTGCTTGTTTATTGTGTGTCAAGTATACCTATGTTTTTCAAACTACATAACAGTGTTTGATGTTGTATCGGCGTTGCATGTTTGTCGCGTGTAATAAAAGCATAAAACTGTTAAAATAACAAAATAGTCAATAGCTTTAATTTTAAATACTTAATTTTTTCTACCTTCAACAATAAGTTATCTCAATCGGTGATATTAATAACTTACCACAACTTCTGAATGCATGGTCTACATAATAATAAATTAGATGTTGGGGTTGTTCTAACCTTGACATGATTTTATGTTAATAAGTTAGATCCACAGATCAGCAATTATTTTCCATTATAGAGATGACGACAATTTTTTTTGTCCAATAGGTATATTTTTGAAAAATATTAAACAAGTATTTTTTTACCTATGCCATAATCATTAAATTACGATGATACATTGAGTAAAAATGTCACATGACGTCACGCCTTTGTGCACTTTAATGCTCTCCTTATTTTAATACTCCTAAACTTTAATGCCTGTTATCTAAGCTATTTCTTGTTAAATTGAAGTAAAAAATACACATCTAATATTTTTCTATTATCTGACTGACGGATTAAATAGAATTTATTTTTTTACCCACTCATAGTCATCCGTATTCTAAATATTCTATCTGTATACATTTTTAAGTTTGTACCTTCACCCGACACTTAAAATTATTAAAAGTCTTTGTATTAGAATAGATGAATACTCACTTTCATCTTCAAAGGCGGTTTCTTGAACCCTATGTGACTCGATCTCAGAGGTACTTTTTTGTCTACGCAAAAGTCGCGATTTGGTCTGACACTTGCCAACTTGTGGCATGCAATCGGTATGGACGTTCATTTTGCATAAACGACATCTCAGGCCTTGACGAGTATGCCCTGTGTGAACAAAAATTAAGATTATGTTACCATAAAATTTGGATATTCTTACAGCTAATGGCTTATATGTTTCTATTGCGTTCAGATTTATCGATTGACACAGAACATGAAACTAAAAAAAACACATAAATAATCAAGCTTCAACTCGTGCACACGCAATAGAGACTGGCAAACTTAACTAGGTGCCGCTTTTCTTTATCTTTGATTAACGAAAAATGTTCGTGCCATAGAATTTCGTTGAATCATGTCCCCTGACCTGAAATATTTGGAACGCTAGATTATCCGAGTTCGAGGTTCAATGGCACAAGACAAAAGAGTTTTCGTGTGAATACATTTTAGCCTAGACTTGGGATTTAAAAAGGAACAATGTTATCTTTCGAATTATTTGATTTATATACTTTCTTTTTGTCTGTTAAGAAGAGACGAAGAGTTAATTTAAATGAGAAATTCCATTTAAAAAATAATGAACAACAGAAATTAAATTGGCTTTTCGTAGTCCAATTGATTCTGTTTCGTTTAGATGAATTTTGACAATCAAAGTTTTATTCATTTTATAGCGTAATATTTTTGAACAGTAAGATTTCTTTGTTTCAGAAAAAATCCATTATGAGGGTCAGTGGGTTCCTTAGAGAATGAAGTAGGTCCTATCGTATTTAACTTTTATTATAACCGTTAACCGTATCATAAGTTTAGTAATATTACGTAAGTGATACAGCATGATTTAACGTGAATTAAACTTTATGTTTATTCATAATAAATCCAATATCTTTCATTCAATACCTAAGCTTATAACCTTGTGTCAAAATAGATAAAGTAATAACCCCATTATCTTGCATTCAGTTTAGTACAGAGTTAAGTGTAAAGTGGCGTGATATTAAAAACGTACATTTGTCTTGTCATTGCGACATAATGGAATTGACATTTAAAGATGGGAAATGCATCACTGCTGGCAGCTATCCCAGCGCAGGGTCAACTACGTTATGTGGGGGCTCTCTTGAGGAACTGGGGTATCAATATACCTACTTATTAAAAAAATACGATGCGCGGACACAGCCTAAAGAACCTCTTCCCAAAATATAGGATAATCCATAATATTTCTGTAATCTTACTCTTAAGCGATTTGTTTATGAAGTTATTATTTTAATAATATAATTAAGTCTTCAAGTAGCTTTATTTTTAATGAATCATAAAAAATGCCATAACCGATGTTTAACTTTGACTGATTTGTGAAAAACACCTTATGTTTCTGAGTCCATTATGAAAGACACGCTTATTCTTTATAAAGTCACATAACCTTGGCCCCTATTGGTGCCGAAACGGAGTTATGTTTTTCTGTTGTGACAATGTGACCGTATAAATCAGCGTGTAGATGAATAGGTTTCATATTTGATTTTGAAATTTATTAATTCGATTTTCATGTTATACATTACTTTGATTTAAAATTGTAAACTAAATTAAACTGTCATATGTAACGGTTAATACTTTTTTCTTTATCTAAGAATTGCGTATTCTCAGTCTTTTCATTATTTCAACATGTCCTTGATTTCCGATTTCCTTTCCTTTTCCTTTCAATGAGATTTTAAACAAATCGTTATTTGATTATTTCGTATTACTTCTACATTTAATATAATCAAAGTGTTTAATATTATGAAAACAAAACTTTCACAAAATAACACAAAAGCCTAAGAATACCATTCAATCCAAATGGGTAAGTGTATCTATATAAAACTATAGTGAATACCTCGTAGTACTTGAGAGCAAATGTCACAGGGCGTTATCTTCTTATAAGTGTATTCTTGAAAGTTATGGGCGTCGGAGTCTCCACCACGCATCGCTTCTCTGGCTGCACCATTCCGCCTAAAAATAAAACTCATTATAAACTATATTTAGTCACTCCTTTAAGAACAAGTATTCACAAGTATTCAGGATTCACAATTGAGCCTTAATTTCGAAGTTAATACTCGTGAAGCTTACTTTGATATTGTCTTAAAAAGAGTTCAACGTTGATATTACTTAGAGTTCAAAAACCTTTAGCATACGTGGAACAATCAAACACGAGCAGATCTCATGGTGATGTGAGCCATTTATCATCATGTCGATACTCTACTGACTGTCACAAGCAAGGATATATACATCAAATATGTATACTAATCGATGATATTCAAGGTCAAGGGGAGGCACGTGAATCTATCTGCGTTGTAATCTTTCCTCCCACCATAGGTACACCTTAATGATACTTTGTTAGTAATGGCTCCAAATTGTGTACATTGATTGGGGTTGAGGTTATAAAAACAATCATGGAATATATACAGGTAGCTCTAAAAGCATAACAACATTCAACGCTTTGATATACATGCTGATAGTGTAAGCGGTAAGCAGTTTTTGGTCTGTTTAAGTGGTGGGGTCCCCTTGGAGATGGTGCTGCTGAAAGAGTTCAAATATCTAATAAGCCAGTGAAATATACACAACGGCCTTACCAATAAGCAGTATATAAACGTTGTATAGTTATACAGTGTTTTATATATTTCACTCGAACTGAAAGTCACGTGGGAATGACGTGAACAGAGTGGAAAGTGTAAGTTTTACTGTAAGGCGTTCACTAGTGAGCACGTTAAGTATTAGTATGGAGATTTGTAGTTCTTAATAGTGACCGCTAGAGGCGTTGTTCCATACTAATACTAAATACTAAAAATCTTAACGCGCTCACGATCGACGGTGAACGTAAACGAATAAAAATTACACTCAGCCCTCGGAGCTATGTATAACTAAACAACAGTTATAAGTTTCTTAATAGTAAGGGTATTATTGTTGTCATATTGGACCTTTTCTAAACATGCTAAGTGTTTGTCTACATGGAAGATATGAGCAGAGTTTTACAGTCAAGAGTTTTAACATTTACCAACTCAGGCGCATACCTACAGGGCACAATTACCTCATTGCCATAACCGTCGACACCGCGTGGTACATTTGATTTTTTCTTTTTTGATGCAAGAAGAAAGAAACATCAAAATGAAATGGCATGTGATGTTACTGATATATTTAAAAATTAAACGAATGTGCGTCGATCTGTGATGCACCTATGCTATATAAATAAAAATTTTGAATTTTTACTGTTAGGTACTTTTGAGCAATAAAGTCATCACAGATTACATAAAAAAATTAGTGTGAATGATCTAATTGTAGATGACAATTAATCATTTGCACTTAAAGCCGTAAATGATTACAAACAATAGTGATTAGTCGATAAAAAATTTAATTTATGAAAAGCAGATTATAAACAGCGAAGAAATATAAAATATTATTCACCGCATAGCGATTTCGCTTATTGATTATTTGTGACTGAAAAACTACGCCCGATGAGTAAATCAGGGTATACAGGTATTTATTTGATGGGTTATTTATTTGTGTAAAAAAGAACCTTCGTGATAGTGACTATATTTTGCAGTCAATGATGTAATACGAGGGGTAACTTTTTAAAACAAAATTAACAATTGGAACTTAATGATAATTTAATTGTTTTTCTCCACAACATTTAATACACTACCCATGCGCTCAAACTAATTTTATAAAACATTTATTCCACCTCGAAGTAGAGGTACTCGAAATCTCCAGTTCGAACGCTTATACTGTTTCTTTACCCGACTGGAACCGCTGACCGCGAAGGATTTTTTATTTTTGTTTTTGGAAAGTAAAAAAATATTAGGGACTGACTTAAGGTCAGGATTACGGGGGTATTCCAGAATTTCAACGTTTTCCTGCTTCAAATACTTAATGTTCGGTCAGAAGTGTTAGCTTGCTTTGTCTTGATGCAGTAGAATGCGTCGCTTCGTGTTGGTTTTACGAAGCTCGGAAATTACTTGACTTAAACTGTGGTATACCACTTTGTATTAACTGTTCTACGATCCTCTAGCTCAATCGTCGCAACATGACATCTTTTCGCGACGAACGTTGCCAGCATTTTCTTTGAAGTGCTTCGCGAACGTACTTACTATTTTTGTCGGTTTTGGCTCATCTTGGTTCATATGCATAAATCCAAGTTTTATCACCACTAATGATGTCGTATACAAGATTCGAGTCCTCGGTTAAATCGTTACGAATAATAAGCGTTTTATTACACCATGTGACGCGAGACTCCTTGTTGTTTTCAGAGGGCACATGGTGACCAACCAACGTGAGACTAGTTTTCTCACACAAAGTGGTTCGTATAAAATTTTTTGAACCGTTGTCCCCGTAATGCTTTAATCTCACAATAGGTCATATGCTCAGTTATTAATTTTCTGATAGCAACGATGTTTTCTTTACGAGACGTCTTTGGACGTCTCTCACGAGATTTGTCACAAAGACTGGTATGTCCACGCAGAAATTCTTAATACGAGCATTCAATGGTCCTTAGGCATGGAGCTTTATCACTGAACACAGAAGTCAGCTCCTTAAAACACTGAAGTTGCATTAGACCTCAGAAATTTTTCTTTAGGGAAATTAATTTTCATGGATGATGACTAACTTCAAAATAACGCCATCACTAAACAATTGAACTAACATTACATATTTTAGTTGTTTTAAGATTCTAAATTCAAAAGAATTCGAACGCAGTTTTAAATTCATTATTGTCGGAAATAGGTAAACGACAAAACACAAAAATCACGCCTGGTAATTAGGTAAGTTTAATTGTACTGTAAAATATAATTCAGTATAACGTCTACTAATGGATTGCATTCCTTTTAAAATACAACTATACTAATTAAAAGAAGTTTTATTACTAATATGGAATCAGTTAAATACATTAAATCATTAAATTAGTATTATTTATAATTCATAACATCTGTATTGCTAGATAAATAATGTGAAATATCTATTACAATTAAATTATTGGAACATTACGAGATTGTTCTTAACTGTTTTGTGTTCGTGTTCAATTTGTTTGTTTTTATTTCAATAATAATTCTATATTTAATGAGTTCTTCCTAAAGAGGCATACAGATGAGGTCACTTACAAAATGACAAATTACAGAAAGAATGTAAATTTGGTTCAAAATTTTGTATAACTCTACTTATAATATAAATTGAATCAAACATTTTTATTAAATAATCATATCAATAAAAAAATTGCATCGCATTCGGGCCAAGCACAGTTGAGTATTTCACCTAGTATATTTAATTTAGAACATATTTTCATTTAAACGTTGTAGTATTTTATTATCTATGTTCGTATAGAAGAAATGTAGGCAATAATGTATACCTAACCTAGTTACTTTTGTCAAAGTTCATACAAACACTCGCCTCGCTTCGACTTTGTATGCACCTCGTTATCTTGAGTCTATTATTTACCAAGAGCACTCGAATAGCCGGGATCTGAATAGTTCTTGTGTAATATTATTAAAAAAAGTTTCCACTACTTTTTAGGTCGACAATTTTCCATATAGCAATACTTACTCCTTACTAGTTAGTTGGTATTACTACCAATTTAAATTAAAAAAGACAAAGATATTTCTTTATTATATAATTACTATTTCCGTCCCCATTACGTATTTCCAGGATATTTACTTTAATCTAAATGTACGTTTTATCACCTTTATTTCTTCAATTTGTTCTTAATAGGATTAAATATTAGAACCTTTCAGAATAGGAATGATGCTTTTAATTGTTTACTAACGATTTTCATCGCATTTAAAGAAGCCTTACAGCTTAAAGAGGGCATATATAAATACTCTCTAATCCCATAAATCGTTGGACTACATGACTTACTGTCTGTTGTCCCGCGACTTCGCATGCCTAAATTATAGGCTATGTCACCCGCGTATGACGTAGCTTCCCGTAAATGAAAGAATATTTAAAATCGGCCCAGTAATTACGAAGTCTATTCCATGCAAACAAACAAACATAATAATCATTATTGTACCATATAATATGTCTGAAACATGTAACGAAAAACTGTAAGGTTGAAATGATGAAATGTATTTGAATATAACCTTTTAAATCTTCACCTTTTTCTTTTAAATAGGTTAACAGTTTACGCAAATCCATTGAACGTTTATCTTGAATATAAATTTGTATTGAATATATTATTACATTTAAATTAAAAGATTATATTTTAGTGACTGGTACCTAGTTGATCCATTAAAGCAATCTTGTTCCATTATAGAGGCGCGTAGACGCGATATATACGTATGAATAATCACGAGAAAGGTTTTCCGTTTTGTTGCCGTGTAAATCAGAAACCTTAAGCATTGAAATATAATCGAATAAAAATCTTTCGATGTAATCATATTTTAGGAATATAATGAAAACTTTTCAGCTATTAAAAAAAATAAACTTCATATCTATAATATGATGAGGAGCTAGATGGCGATATGGTTACTCAGTATCCCCAAAATCAAATTTTCCATCTAATATGTACAAAATTATTCCCAAAGTACAACTTTGTTAGAGTTACTTTGTTTTTTTTTTAGGCGGCACATGGGAAGGGTTCGACAGATGATATCGGTGGCTATATTAAGCCAACTGGTGACCAATTTGTTGCCATTGGGAAAAATATTTGTTTTGCTTCTTCCTTCTATTAGTTTCTGAAAGACAGTAGCAAAGTGAAGATGTACCTTATACTTGATGAAGACATTGAAAACATGGCTAAATTCCAACAGAAATAGTTTTTTTATATGGCACAATGAAAGTATATCAAGTTTCTACAGACTTAATGGGATCGCTAAATTCTCAAGAATTGATCTGTTTTTGCCAGAGGGGTTTCTGTTCTTGCATGTCTCCAAAAGCCTTTTATCTATATTGATTAGATATGTTCTTTTTTTACTTTTTTTTATTAAGTAAAGAGTTGTGATTGAATAGAAAATCTAAGAAAATTAAAAAAGAATGACATAATCGGTTTAAAAATCTACAACGAGAAGCTTCTTCGAGAAACTGGTTAGAACAGCAATGGCTGTTTTTAATCCTTTGTTTATAATCCATTGTTATTATGATAAAACGATCAGCTCACTTAAGCCAATCCTGAAACGTTTTCCTGACATGTTTAACAACCGAAATATTTGATGACAACGCCACGTTCGGTTTACGAAGAAAATTTTCTTTTCATTTACCATTGTTTTTTCTTTTCTCCGATTAATCCTTTTCTGCAATTGTGAATGTACTTTAATTAGATCGGGTTTTATATATCAAAATTGAGCAATATAATCAGGGTAATTAATTGTAACCTTAAAGTTCGTAACAGTTGGTGAATATACTAAAATATGGTATCTAAATGTAAAATGACGATCGCCATACAATCCAATGGTCCAACACAGAAGGCTAAGATAATATAAGTATAATATTTTCATATTAAGCATACTAAGATTGTGATGGGTTCCGTGTTAGTTGTTGGTTGGAAAATGAAACGGCGGACTAGGCTTGATAAGTTAGTATATTAATAATCTAACTAAAAACCCTGACTTGGGTTTATCTAGAAGATACGATGCAAATGTCTACACGTACACTTCATAATATTCATTTTTAATAATAATCGTGTTGTTGCCGGAATATTTTCTAAGAACTGACATTCAGAGAGAGCAAATCGCGTTACTGAGAATTTCAAATTACAAAAAAGATCAAAGACAAAAAGATGGATACGGAAACCTATGACAAAATTAACGGTGTGATAGAATGCATCATTACAAGATGACAAGCTATACGGACATATATATTAATAAAGGGTTTCAAAATTTTATCGTATCTTAACTATGTGATGTTAAAATATGCTTAATATGTTAAAATAATTATCTTATGATGAAATAATAATGCATCTTAACCGTCTGCGGTGAGCTCTACTGAACTGGAGAACTTGATTTTAGTTAAACTCACTTTTTGTAGACTGACATGTGTAATCATAAGTGAACTCCATGTCAGTGATTTGGCAGATTGCGTGCTTTATGTTATTTATGACATTAATCTAAATAATAAAAAAGAGGAAAGATTTCATTGTTTCTTTACATTGCATAGAGGCCGAAAGTGATGGACCAATTTTAAAAATGTAACACGAAAGCTACATCTTGTTATGTCTTTTTATTCATAAATCATTGTTAAGGTTTATCAAATATCGAGGATATGCAATTCTAGACGATATTATATTGTTTTCGTGTCATGATATCGATACTAACATGAAAGAAAATTGTTATAATGCTATTTAGGACAAAAACAAAATTGAAAAGGACGTCCGCATCAATTTTATAAATAAATGAAGCTACGTACATCCTTCATTTCTGAAAAATTATTAAGAGCGCCGTCTATTTTTACAATGATACATTATTGATGTTGTTTTCATTTCACTATAGATTTTTAACGATAATAAGTCTCGAACTAATCATATATCTTATGTCGATAAACGTAGTACCTCTAAAAAAATCGGGTAATTAAAATCAATTTGACACGCATTCAGACAAGCCAGTCAGGCACAAATACCTAATATGATAATAAAAATTTTCTATTTAACAGGTACGAACTTTAAAAATTATGCCACACATTGTCAGCTAAGAAATGTTTGAAATATTTTTTACAATCCATGACGCAACACACTTTACCGATAAACGCAATGAGGTTACCACATTTTAAGTTAAACCTTATTCACATAGTGCTTACTAAAATTAGGTTCCGTTATGAAGTGTACAAAGTTCAAAATGGTTTTGTAATACTTTAGGGCTAATAGAGCTGCAGGTAGACTAGCTAATCCTGGCTTTGTTATCAATGGAATTATAGACAAAACTATAGCTTATATAGATAATTAATACGGTTATCTGCTGGCTGGGTAAAAATCAAAGAGCAAACAAGACGAAATCATTGCGCATCTAAGTTAGATACGGACAGAAGATGAAGTATTACGCATCAAAAACTATTTCTACTCGTAAAGAATCGTTTACAAACCAGATGAATGAACAAAATGATGAAAAAGGGTAAGTATTAAATTTGATTTTTTTAATAAAAAAGAAAATTTTGATGTTTTGACTTTGACCTGCATATTCGGGCGTTATTTCTTGCGAACAGTTGAATGTCAAGGATTTTTGGTTGACCCGCCCTCTTTAAACTACACATAAGAATCATCACCAGCCTGTTAATATCTCCACTGCTGGAGCTCTGGCCTTTTCTATGGATGGTATCAAATCGACTAGAGAGAAAAGGCAGTAACCAACCACGGAGGCTCAGTGCCGATTTGTGGATGTAAACGACTTCAGATGCAGTCAGTAACGGTTTAAAGTGCCTTCCGAAGTACGAACGTGTTCGAGAAAATATTTTTTTGGTCACCCATCCTATGACCGGACCTTGCGAAAGTTGCTTAACAACACTGTGCCATTGAGCTCCTACTATTTTTCCTCCTTCAATTCCTATTTCTCCAATTAATAACAACTATGTACCCTTAAAAAGACAGAGTCAGAAATCCAATTATCGTGATAAAGCATTTACTAATTTAGGTTTGGGGCAAAGAGCGTATGGAGATTCGGCTATCTCATTTGCATATTATATACATGTGTATTATAGTTACATATACCTAGTTTGTTACATTTTTAGTGAGTGTTTTCGATAGTATCCGTAGATACTTAAATATATTAATTTGTTCACATGGTTTTGTATGTTATAATAACAATAACATTTTTTTCAATGTTCATACTTATTAAAGAATCACGGCGGATAATATTTTCGAAGATAAGTATAGTTCCTGCCTCAATGCCCGAGGATATTGAGGTCCATTTTCTTCTCTACACGTACCTAACTAAAAAGTATTGGTGAAAGTTTTTACAATTCAGATATTAAGGTTTCTGAATTTAGAACATATAGTTAAGAACATCTGAAACTGTACTTAAGAGTCACTTAAACAAGTTTTCGTTTCTGATTTTAGTTGTTTAATGTTCAGTTGAGAGCTGTTTGGTTAAACTTCAGAGACTGGTCGATTAATTATTTAAATAACTTTTTATATTTTAAAATGGCAAAAAGGTCTTATGTTCAACGTAGGGTATGTGTTTCTTTTTATATATGTTCAACGGTTTCTCCGTGAATTATGAAAATTATTTTCTTTTTCATTCGAAAGCTTGTAGAGATAGTCATTCCATCCAAGTCATACTCCAAAAATTTTACCAGAATCAGATCAGCAGTAGTTTTATTTAATAAAAATAAAAAAAACTGAAAGTTTTCTGTCAAATAAAAAAAGTTCATGTTATGAATGTTATCAAAGTAAACAAAGGAATTCGTATTTAGCTGTTTGAAGAGTTGCATAATATTTTTAATTTGCAATTAAAAAATGATTTCAAACGATGTTTCGTAAGCACAGAGTATATTATTTTTCACAGTTTTTATCGTCGGTTTTTTTTTCGAAAAAAGATTACTTATAACAATATTAAACTAAATAAAAGCAATGTCTAATGAAGCAAAACTTTTATCACACGACTCACAAAATCGCGTTATTTTACACACCATTTACAAAATCAAGAACCAACAGTAGATCCAATTTATTTGTCTCCTTCTATTATAGTAGAACAACAACGAAAATACATAAAATTTGATAAAAGAATAAGTAAAACATTAAACAACTATAACAGTTTGCATGGTGTGCTAAATAATATCATTATGACATTTGTAATATTAACGAGTGCAATACAAAAGAAAACAGAAGAAAAGTGAAACAAAGAAAAGTCGTATGTGTATTTATACCACATTAATTAATTATATAGCGGCAGTTGCTAAATGGTAATTTTAAATAAAATTTATGTTTTCAGACGATTACACTACCTTGTGTTGAGAAAATAATTATTGCAATCATTGATGTTACGAGTACTAAGTTTAAGAGTATATATATATGTACATGATTTAGTTAGGGCTGTATTATTTTTTTTTTAAATCAGTGTAGAAAATTTAACGAAATCGCCATGTGGGTCAATGATTATATTTCTTTATCGCTCAAATATGTGAACAATAAGAAATACGATACGTACTTGTCTGGGGGTGCAGCGTGAGGAGGCGGAGCGCTGGGCGGTTTCAGACTACGGAAGGCCTTTAACCATTTATTCTTCATGCTTCCCGCCGACGACGAGGACATCTTCCTGTCCACGGCGCCGGCACCGCTGTCTGCCTTGGCAGCGAACAGCTCTCTCTGTGAGCAAAACAGACAGCTTATTAACAATCCACAATACTATGACGACACATTATTAATTATCAGTCTGCGACACTCATACGACGTACTATTAATCATAAGTCGTCGTTTTGTTGCAGGATTTCCGAAAGCAAAGAGTCTTATGACTGTCGCAATCTCGAGGAAATTTTATAGGGCATATTGAGATATTCCATCGTAGACAATGGACTATTTTGTTGAGTCATGGCTGCACAACAAGGAACAAAGGAACCACCGAGTCTTAATCAGTTCAATGTCATTAGTACAATTTCAATTTTCAAGAACCCATTTCTACGTATGCCTAGAGACCGAGACCAAGCAGGCAAGTTCTCCAAATTTTTACGAATCTCAACGACTTGTAATCTAACAGTGTACTATCTATCTAAAGTTCAATATTATGAGTGCAATGACTTCCTCATACATAGATGGTGACAGATATATAATAATAGTAAACTTAAGGTAGCTAGAACAATAGCAAAGTGTAAATAGTTGAGATTCTAGTAAGACGCGTTTATTACGTAAAGATTAGAAGAGTAAGTCTGCAGGGGTGATTTGCAGCACTGAACATACCTCCATGAATTGAAAAAATGAAGTAGATTATACGCGTGTGTTTATAAAATATAGCAGTTCAAGGTCATTATTATTACTGCTGCGATTAAGACTTTCCTCTGAATAAATTCAGATATGGAGAAAAGTCTTTAACCCATCACGCGAGCACAGTGCAGATTGGTGGGTGGACTGGAACTGTATCCAGAATCAACGGCTTAACGAACCTTTCAAAACCTGGAGGTACTCAATATAATATTTCTTTGGTGATTCATACTATTGCCCTCCCTTGTTGTTTAAAACCACAACGTGCCAATAAGCGATCGAGTTTGTCAAGAGAGCTCATAGTTCATCACCATCATCTAAATATAATTAAGATTCTAGTTCTTCGCCAAATCGTCAGCAAAAAATTGTTTGTTAACTCTAAAGAAAGGTATATGAGGTATCTTGACAGCATAACCTAGATACCATAAGATCGTAACAGCGTGTGTACAAACAACTTCCTTCTGAACGTGTAATAATAAGCATCTAATTGTTTGCCCTATAATAGAGGAAAATCATCATTATAGCTAAACCGGTATTATAGTAAAAAATCAAATCACTCCACAATGTTCACCGAATTCCACTTGTTTTTTATCAATAACTATAATTACATAATCAGTTGAGAGCAAGGACTACATAACCAGTATCGGTATTTTTTACTATTTCATATATTGTCATTAACTTAATCATAAATCCAAAAACTATTCGTATCAATAGCGATATTTTATATTTTTCTTGTCTGTTATAATCTTGAACACATAATAGCATCACACTAGCATCTTATAACTTACAAATATAATAGGATGTCACAAATAAGAATCTATGCACATGTTAAAATACTGGGCCCATTTTACAAGACCTGAAACTCCTTAATAAAGATAAACACATCCCATATTATCTACTAATCTGCATTTCAATGTTTCATAGAAATCGGAACCAGATTATTTTTATGCGACATATAAATCAAATAGGAAGCCAAGAAACTAAAGACTAGAACAAGACTATGGTGACCGTGGGCATATTTAACAATTGAAATATAAGGGTCAGATTGCCCGTTTGGCTCAGACTACAGATAATAGAGCAGAAGAAATATGCGTAAAGAAATCCGTATCTTGGCAATGAATTAGAAGGCCTCCTTGCTCTAGTTATAGTAGGTCATATGCTTAACAGTCTTTTATATAATGTCATTACATGTGAAGTTCTCATAAGATTAAAAACCATATTAAAATTAACAAAGTTTCAGATTTTCGACTTCTTCAAAAAAATAATACTTATAAAGGCGATTTAATCAATCAACATTCTATTGAAGTCGGAATGTAGGACAGTTAATGTTATTAACATATACAAAATATCCACCCTACTTTTCAAATATTTAAATTTTTAGTTGATGAAAACATCCGTTTTTATGTCAATTGTTTTCCAACGAAATCTCTTAAAGACAATCATGCCTATATTATTCCGGACACTTTATTACGCTTTAAATGTTTTACTGGAGTAGTAAATCCAACATTTATTGCCCAGATTTCATAGTGCACATTGTGCTACTTCCTTATGTGCATGTTACGATAACAGACAAAAGTTTTTATAGTTTGTGTAAATATAACATTGAAACGCGACGTTGCATTGCGAACAAATCAAACGATGAAGGACATTCTTTATGAGATAGGGAATAAATTTATTTTTGCAGTTAGATTGTGTAATTTCAGAGGCTACACACTTGCATAAAAAAGTAAGAGAGTACACAATGACATACAAGTGTGATAAAGTACGATAAATAAAAGGGATACCACTCGATCTAAAAAGGGATACTTCTGAATTAGTGCCACATTAGTTCTCTGAAATCCCTTGTATACTGGACTATACCGATAAGAAAACCATGGATTTTCAACTGTCACTCAGAAAAAAGTCAATGTCAAACAGACATTAATAGGAGGATAACAGTCAAATAAATATTTATAAAGATAATTACATATATACAATCCAAACTAATTTAGCATTTAATAAATAAATATGTCACTAGGATACCAGATACATTTTTTGTGTGATGCCATTCTTGCAATGCGTCATTATTCCGCAATGTTGTCTAGATACTCGTAGGTTGCTGAGGTCACTTTCTATTTAAAGGTATAGAAGAGGTCAAACTGTGCTTGGCAATACATATTTCCCTGGAGATCGACAAGATACCACTCCAGTTAGATTGTCCAAATCATATAACTCCTATTGATGTACCTAGTATTTTTAAAGGAAGATACTGCAATTTCTTTCTTTAATCAGATTTTCGTAACTATAATTTTATTATGCTGTATTTCGATTCTTAGCTAAATTAATTCTTACATAAGAATTCTTCGTATATTGAAAAATAAAAATAAAAATGTAATTTTTTCTATCATTTTGCATCTATACCAACGTTAATACCTAATCCATACCTGTACAAATGTGGCAAAGTTAATGTGGAGAAAAAGTGTAGAATTCTAATGTTATTTTAAAATAATTCTTAAAGTTGTTAAGTTGTTTAAAATAATACTACTGGAAGCCCCGTCATACACGGGTGTCATAGGTTATAATTTACGCGAGTGAAAGTTGTTGGTATATTATACTCGTATATTATAAAATGCTTCATCATTAACTAAAATATTATTAATTAAAAACGTCATGTGACATTTTAGTTAAATGATTCCCCAAAAAATATTCCTATTAATATTATAAATGTGAAAGTTTCTTTGTTTGGATGTTTGTCCGTCAATCACGCCGAAACTACTGAACGGATTTTGATGAAATTTGGTATACATATAGGTATTAGTTGACTTAGATAATAGGATAATTTTTATCCCACTAAACATTTCCCTAGGGTAGACGCGGGCAAAGCCGCTGGCGAAAGCTAGTTATTTAATATATTACAACAATCTATCTGAGGGACAAAAAAAATTGTTATCGTCCCTAATATGCGAAAACTTTTTTGTCTAACGAGAAGAAAGTTCAATTAGTATCTTGATTTTTCAAATAATGGAAGTTAGTTTTAAATATTTTAGCTGATAATCAGATTAATTGGGTATATTTTATAACTATAGAACTAATGTGTGTGATATTACAGCTCGCTGCGTTAAAATTTACCCCTTTTTTATATATTATTTATTTATAATAGATGATTAAATATGAAAATGAAAGTGAGCTAAGTAAATAATAGGTCTTTACCTATGAAATTGCCGTTGTTCATGAAATAAATGAAGCGTATTTTTTTCTATATTTTTTATTTCTATTAACTAAAGCAATTTCCCATTCAATCAATGCATCTTTGCCAGCGCATTGTTAGCTTGTTGCCTGCCTTTGTCTGGCCTTCATGAAAAAATCATCTGGACGGGAGGCAACAAATTCTTCAAATACATCTGTAGTAATGCTCGTCCCGTTTGGTAAAAAGCACCCACGTTAGACCACCAAACAGTGACCATCACTTTTCTAGGGGTAAGATCGATTTGAGAAAATTTAAAAGACATTCACGGAGTTACTACCATGTTTCCAGTATGGGTCGAGACGGAAGCTTGTGTCTTACCAAGATAGACTAAAAAATTTGGTCTCACGAATCTTGATAGTCGCCGCAAGTGTAATAACTTATTATGTTTGCACAAACTATTACACTCTGATATTGATTCGCCAACCTTGTTGTCACATCTTAATTTTCAAAACTAAATTTAGATCTCGCGACGTAAGTTACTCGGTGTTTATTTGAGGGTATGCACAAATAATTCCTCCTATTACAATCCACTTGTTATCATGTATCGCTGCTATAACGAAATCGCTGTGCTTGACTAAGATATTTTTCAATTTTCATTTGGGAATTTTAAAATAAACGCGAGAGAGCTTTGCGACTAAATAAGGAATGACACAATAAATAAAACAGGGACTTTCCTTTTCATTTTATATAGTTTGCAAAATTTGTATAAACATTTTTAATTAATTTATGAGACAACTATTTTTATCATGTTCTAGAATGTAGTCCAGACCTAAATTACTCGTATATTGACAAATATGTATTTACTTTTTTTGACTGTATTCTGTCTTGTATTATATTATAAATATAATACAAAATTATAATACATAAGAATTATCAGCCAAAAAACTATTTTGATTTGAAATGCCCAGTTATTAAAATATTGCCAACAAATTACTTGTCAATTCTTTTCTTTGTCTTTGGCACTTTACCTACCTAACAAAAAAAAAAACATTCAAATGTGATTATGTAACTAATTTTCATTAAACATTGGAGCTTTTTAACTAATTGACCTTTTCTCTGTCGATGTGTAACTAATTTAAGTACTTAGATTATTTATCCACGTTATTTACGAATAGTTTCTACAGGAGTAAATTTGTATTAATTCTGAGTTAAATTTACTTATAGA